AGAAATGCAACACTTCCTCCTTTAGGCAGCATTCTTCTGTAACTATTTCTCACTCAGTGAGAGGAATCACTTCTCAATTTTCTTCTAATAACGGGGAACATTATCCACTACCCAATTCCAGACACAATTCTGAAGTTTCTCTGGCTAGAATAATTTTCACAGATGTTGTAACAAGAGCAATTCCTACTCTACTTGATATTTAGAAATCTCCAGGTCCCAACCAGCAGAAAACAGAAAACTCCTCAACAAGTCATTGCTATGCTGAGTGAGTCTAGTACTCCAGAACTACACTATCAATACACTTCCAGACTTCGTTACCACCAGAATTAACTACCAAGTAAACACACTATAGAAATAATTTTTTAATTGTCTTCATTGTCTAGAACTACTTTCAGTTACACACATGAGCCAGAGAAACCAAAGCACTTAAAGGGTAAAGGAACATTTTATAGAAACAATTTTGTAAAGGGACCAAAGCATGTACTATTCCATTCCAGGCACTTGGCATTTCAAAATACAGCTTCATACAGATACAAAGCCTTACAGTAAAAACCGCACCTATTTTAAAATGGACATTTACATAAGAATATCTTTCATCTTACATTAAAACACAGCCATTCAAGATGTAAAAGCTTATTTTGAACTGACTTGATTACAAGACAAGACAATCCTATAATGGTTCCTCAGGCATTGTCTGAACACACTAAAGTAGTAGTTCAAAGCAGTACAGCTGCATATTTTTCTTTTGGTGAAAGCGATCATCTTTCTTTCACTTTTATCTAAATGAATCTTTGACAATTGCTCCAATATTAAGTTTAGATGCATGTGACACTTCCTGGTGCTATCAGTGTGTTTGGAATCCAATTTAAAAATAACAAATGCCTCCTTTAACTGTGCATTTGCTACTCTATCACTGTGCACCTAACAGTCCTTTCAACTGTCTCGATTTAAACAAATGTGAAACTAACTTTGAAGAAGGCTAACTATACTTTGCAGACCTTGACTTATGTACAATCCAAGTATTTAATTTGAGTTTTCATTTTTTCTTTATCTAGGAATACGAGGAGACTACTGTAGTCTTTTCAGTGTTGCATAAACACAACGTGGTAAATCTGGACTTTACCTTCAACTTTATGTCATTAGGCAAGCTGGGCTGGTTTTTGCTCCCCACCCTACCACACAATTAGTCATTTAAAAATGACTTTGCCATTAGTGTGGGTTTGTTTGTTTGTTTATAAATTGGTAATATCCTCTTTTAATGTAAGAAATATTGCTACATTAGATCTGCCAGGAGGAAGCCTAGGAAGAAGCTCATCTATCTTTGGGCACATTAGTAATAACAAATCAAATTCAAAGACTGTTTCAATTTTAATACTCTGACACTTTAAGAAGCCTAATTCAAGAAATTTTATGCTTTCTCAAACTGTGTCTGCTGTTAATAACTTGAAGGATGATTGTAAGCCAGTATTTACAATACTTTTGTAAAGTTTTTTTACAAGCTTGCATACCTATTAACAGTGTACTTTTGAAGAAGTCTAACATCTTATAAAGGCTTAGAAAGGTAAAGAACAAACATGTTTTAGTTTTATCCATATTTGACAGTAATAATGATGTTTGTTAAAACTTGCTGTAAAGCTCAAGGAATTTACTACATGGTAACTAAGCCTAATTTAACACTCTGCATCCAGTTTTACTTTTTCAAAGACTAACAATGCTTTCTTCAACACTATTTTTGAAGTGTTCCATTTCACAACATGTAAACATCTTTGTTTTGTGTATGCTTTGAAAAGAGTAGCTACAACAGTAAACATTTACTTTTTTTTAATGCAGTCAACTGCTTTTTGAAATAGTGATCGAAAGAGTAGCAGCTCTGTGCAAGCAGTCCCTAGGGAAGTACAAGGCACAGGCTGCAAAACTTGCACTACACAAATGCACAAACAGCTTACAGCCAACAGAACTTGCTCCTAAATAATACCAACAGCATCAGCAATCTAGCAACTGTTAGCTGCCTTTTCTCAACTTAATCAAATGTAGTTTTGAACTTAGACTGAATATTGCAAAGACCTCACTCTAATCCTTATCACCCACGCCAAGGTCACTTGCCTATCTCAGTATCCTTCCAACCCACCTAGCATACAACTAGGTTAAAACACCTATATAAACCACATACATATGAAGTTTACGTACCACAAATTTTCAGAGGTGCCTCTAGTTCCAGGAGAATAGGCTGGCTAAGAAATATTTCCCGTGATTTTATGCACAAGCCCCGAACTTCTGCTTCAGTCATCTGAACGATCTTCCCAGGACGACATCCTCGTACTGAAATGAGATGTTTAACAATTGAAGGTAACTATCACACTGACACACAGCAACAGGTAAGTGCAGATGAGCTGTATTTGAAATCTATATTTGACAAAAAGCCAGCAGCACACTCCAATATATCTACAAAAGTGTTGGAATTATGTATTCCAATGAATTCTAAAATTAATCTCTGATACTGTGGTAACCTGTGCTTAAAGGTCCATATGCATTCCTATCAAATCAGGCTCTTGGAAGAGAACAATTTAAGCCTTGTTTTCATCCACATTTGGACGAACAGCAACTTCAAGAAGTGTTTAAATTAACAACCCCACTATGCTAGAGTATTCACAATAATCCTGAGAATCAAGAAAAAAAATCATGAGAAACAAAATGCTCAGAACATTTTCACATTCGCACAAAATAAACTTCTTTAGGACTGTTGAGTTCAACTGGGCTAGCTAAATACAAAGAAAAAAACACAAGCACGTTTACCCTTCTGGCAGCTGAAACTGCCATATTAGGAACATCACACTAAAAACTATGAAAGTTTGAGGAAACCTTCATTCATATATAGTGGCTCTTGAGTTACTGGAACCTTTACATCCAAAGAAAGGCATTGTAATTAGAATGAAATTGAATTCCTAAACTGGTAAGTCAGGTACTCAGACCTATATTTAGCACTAAGTTTTCAAAAGCATTCACATGTCATTGCGCTCCAACCAACATCCTCTGGCAAGTTGATCTGCAGCTGCTTCTTTCCACAAATATCTATATGATTCCTCTGTCACAGGCTTTAATGTGTCTTTAACGAGGCAGCAAAATAGAACAAATGTGTCTGCACTTTGGCTGATCCAGTTCAGTCTTGCATTTCAGCATAAACCAAACTTCAGAGTTCAACCTAATAAGCCAGAATGTATCAGTGTCTACAACAGGCAAATATCCCGTTCTGTCATCTGTTTTAGATGGAAGTAACATTCAGCATTAAACCACCATAATACCTACAAGAGAAGATGGAACAAAACTTTAACAGTTCAAACCAAAATGCTTTCAAACGCAAACATAGTAAGACATTACTTGTAAAAATTTTAGCTGCAACTTCACGAAGTCTATTAAGACAGATTTGCAAACAGAATAGCAAAAACTAGTTCTTTACACGTAAAGTAAGTTCCTGGCTTGCCTGCTTCCCCTCTCCAAAACAGAAGAGTAAGCTTGCAATTTTTTTTTTTTTTAATTAATAACACATCCCTTTTCCCTTTATTTCCACTTAGCTCCTAGAAAACATACGTTACAGAGGAGATCAGTATCATTATCTACATGTGCAATGGGGAAAAAAGGATATGAAGGTAAACAGTTTGTCCTAGGTGACATAGTACTACAGTCCAAGCATTAAGCTCAAAAACCTCTGCTCTGGTTATCACTGCATACTACTTCTCCGAGTGTAACTGCACATCTGACCATTCCAACACTGTGCTATGAATTTTTATTTTTTCATTTTTAATGAACAGACATACTTGTTAAACTGAGGTTAGGAAGCAGCCACAGGAACATATGAAAAAGGCAGGAACATCGAATTATTTTTCTCAAGCAAGGAGGAGATGTGAAACTAGATCCTGGGATAGCCATTTGAGTGCCAAAATAGCAGGAGGGCTAGTGTATCTGCAGTCAGGATACACTGGAAATACTTTGCTCATTAGAATCCCACAAGAATAAGGCTGTGTCATACAGGACTTTTCAGTGAAACTCTGAATCAGTACCAGGTGATATTTACCATACGGTAAGTCACATTCCTTTTGCTAATTAAGATTTCAACTATACTTGAGAAAGCAAACAGCTTTTTAGTTACGCTTTTTTTTATTCTTCATGCATTAAGATGTTGGCTTACATATGAAAAGAATACAAAAGCAGACATTAGACACAATCAAGGTGACTAGAAAACAATAATTGTCTACAGGCTTCCATTTCACCACATCTCAAATGTCTGGTGAGTGATGCACTTACAGATACATCTTCAGACCCATGGGGATTATTATCCAAAAAAATAAATCTCAGGCTTGACAGCTTTGCACAGAACTTGACTATCCAATCTGTGAGGTACCAGAATGCTTCAATAATCTCCACTTTTTCGAACACTTGCATTCTGGTAGCTTATAATGATCCCTTTCAGAGACCAGAAACTCATTTTGATAGGCACAATAAACTCACACTATATATAAGAAAGTTCCCACCTGAAAGAGCAGAGTCTTAATGCCACAATGGCTATCATTTTTTGAAACAATTGTTACATTTTAAACCCATGGCTTGTAACATCAAGGCCATGCCAAAGAAGCATGCAGCACAACTAGCTTTTCAGTCCCATTTTTCCTCTACAAACCGTGCATTCTTTTAACCTGTTTTGATAAGCAATGAAATTCTCCTCTGTACTTAACGACTTTCATAATGTTTTGCAACATGAGAGTGCTGCCATTTAATGTAGATTAAAACCAAGAAGTGACATAACTGCAGACTTTTTACATCCACTCTAGTTTTGGAACTCAAACCCAGGAAAGCCCACCATACACAATATTAACAACACTGTAAGTAGCACCAGACCAAGCACAGAGTCCAAAACTGAGGCAGCAGTTCAAGGAGGGCACTCATAATACTTAAAATAACTTTGGTTCAGTGAATATTTCTTAGAACACCAGGCTTTAGCTCCCTTTGAAACTCACATGGAGGTTTAAACTTGGAACAATTGCTTTACAGGTTTGAGGCTTTAAGTGCTGCTGAATTTTTGCACTAGAAGACACAGTGAACATGCAGCTCCTGACTTTCAAATTAACTGCCACAGTCAGTAACACCAGTGTGTTGATGTCAGTTCTTTACATTTTACAGTAGAGTGTTAAATGTTGTAAGCTCTTTAACAGACAAACCTACACACAGGGCAGTAACTTATTACCACATTTTGGATTCTTCAGATAAGAGAAGTTTCTACAACTATGGCAAGTATGTCACTCTCAGAAGAGAGGACAACATACACCTAATGACTGCAGTTACTTCCAGCCCTTGAGAAGGGTACAAATCTTGGCCACCACATCTTTGCAAAGGCACCCTCCACTCAGTCAGCAGCTCCACATAGCAAACATGTAACCTCAGTTACATTTGAAGAAGTACAAAGCCTGCGGTTTCATGAGGAACAACCTTCAATAATATAGTTAAGAGAAAAGAAGTTTTCTCCCACGACCCCCTGAACATCAATAAGGGTAATACATATTGAAAAATGAGAAGCCACTGTGACTCTGGAAGCCTCAGCACTTTCCTAGATTCACAAAGGCACTGAAAGGTTCACCAAGTAGTCATCCGGAACAGCTGTTCCACAGCTGTGGTACAAGTACACAAGCAAGACTAAGCACATCTTTCACCAGCTTACACTACAAATAGAATTTTGTTCAAGTTTCCTTGACTCAGCTGAGCACTGTATGGATGCTAAACAAGAGCAACTCTCATCACTTTTAGTTTTTCAAAAGTCAAATCCCCAAGAAGAAATTTAAGAGGAGGTTATGAGAATGAGATCAAGACTGTAAGTGATATTTTTCAGACTCATTTACAAATTACTATAGCTAACCATTCCTAAAACATGCAAGTCATAGCTGCATGCATTGTAAAATCAGTAGCTCACAAAAAGCCTTTAACAGCATTGGGAAAACCATCATTTTTAATGGTTGTCAACTACCCAGAGCAGAAACAGCATCTCAACATTAGACGTAAATTAATTCTCTTTAATCTAAGACGCAGATGCTGTAAACAAGCTTTGATTTACATAAAAGTCTTCAGTAGGGAAGCAATTCCTGTTGTAATACACAATCCCACATGCATAGTGCTATGCCAGAACAAGCCTTTGCTGCAAGGAGCTTAAAGCACAGTGACATAGCATGGAATAAAGAAAATTAAAAGCAACTATATGCATTGTACTGTCGGGTTATTATTTTAGCATAATAGATCCTGTAGTAATCTAAAAGCTGCTCTAATCAATATTAAAATGGTCTCTGCATCTACACAACCTTTGATAAGCAACCTTAGTAAGTCTACTAAAAACAATTAGTAACCTAAGACATGAGTTGCACAGTGGCAGGAAAGAAAAGCTTCAGCAAAAATAATTTTTTTTTATTCCCTCCAAATTCATGCCAGAGTAGCAGACTATGTAAGGGAATACTGGAGAGGAAGAAAATAACATTAAGGAAAGTGAGTGAAGAAATGGCTGTTGGAAGTTCCGTGAGCAGCACTTTTTGCCATATTCTTTCATGAACTGGAGAAAATACATTTAACCTTTTCTATTGCACTTTTTTTGGTGTCCCTCTCTAAGTAACTAGGCTGCTCATTTTGTGGCATCACTAATAGTAACTGAAGAAATTTGTAAGTCAGCTTACAGGTACACACAGCTGTCCCAAGCAGTTATACTGTGTTCTCCAATACCACGTGTCCTGTTCACTGCACAAAACACTCATGGTTTTAGCACATTAAAACCCAGACAGATTTCTCCTAAGTCTCATAAAAAATTGGGCCAGCAGTATTGTTACGAAGCAGTCTCCTCCTT